CGAGGCCAGCCTGGTCTCCAAAGCGAGTTCCAGGAAAGGCACAAAGCTACACAGAGAAACCCTGTCTCGAAAAACCAAAAAAAAAAAAAAAAAAAAGAAAAGAAAAGTTTATAGTCTTGTTTACAAAATTCCCAGAAAATGTGGGCTTACAGCTAGAGAAGGACAAGGCCATACTTGAAGATCACACAAGCTTAGGCTCTAAGCATAACATTACATTAATATTCTTATTTGAAGTAGTTCTACATAAAAGGAATTTGGGAGCTGGAGATATGGTTCCACAGTTAAAAGCACTTACTGCTCTTGAAGAAGACCTGAGTTCAGTTTCTAGCATGCACATGGGGTGGCTCAGAATGGCCTATAACTCTAGTTCCAGGGGACCTGAACCCTCTTCTAACCCCTAAAGACATCCACATGCACACACACTCACATGCCACACACAAATAAAAAAGCAAGCCCCCCCCCTTAAAAAGGACTATTGTATCTAGGCAGTCTTCAGAATAGAATTTGTTAGTATCAAAATTGTCATTTCTACCAGCAACAGACCTTAGTGAGAGCCTCATTGTCCCTCCTGTATCTCCTTAATTTCCCATCTTCCTATCCTGCAGCACTTCCAGTGTGTCTGTGTTCCATTTATCATGATGTCACCATATGCCTAAGGTAAAAACATAGAATGGGATCTAAAGTGGTTTTGCTGGTGTTCTGAGACCAAGTGTCACTGTATATCCCAGGTGAGCCTGGGACATATTGTGTAACACAGGCTGACCTCAGACACCATATCCTCATGTCTTCCAAGAGCTAGAAATGTGTTCAGACATCACAACACCTGGGTGGATCTACTGGCTTTCAATCTGGGATCAGTATAAGACACATGCTCACACTGTGATTTTTTAACTTCTTTGCACTTCTCCCTGTCTCTTTTCTTTATCAGGTATACCACGAAAAGAATCCTTGCGACAAAGAGTGAATTACACCCAGAGCCAAAGGAATATCCTCCAGGAATGGTATGAACGCAACCCATATCCTGATGCAGGTATCCTGAACCAACTGGCCAAAACTATTGATGTTCCAGTACCTAAAATAAAGGTAGGAAGCCAAGCAAGAAGATGGTACATGGCAGTACGAGTGTTCTGAATGCTAGAGCAGGAGTTATGAACTCATTGCTGAGTTCTAGTTCACTTGGGGCTACCTAGTGAGTTCCAGACTAGCATGAGCTACAAAGGAAGGCCTTGTCTTTAAAAGGGGGTTGGGGGAGAGAGTCCATAAAAACCAGTGCCAGAGGTGGAGTCAGGGAGACTGCTGACGACTGAGCTGGCTTTGACTACACACGGAGCTGAAGGTCATCCTGGGCTGCACAATGAGACCATATCTCAAGACATTAATTAATCCAGGTAGACATTCGATCTCTGTTGTCAGAATCAACAGAAAGAGAAAGGCGGGGCTCAGAAAATGATGGTCGTCTAATGTCAAGACTTCACTGAGCAGGCTTTTCCAGTAAAAACTGGAATTAAGCCGGGCGGTGGTGGCTCACGCCTTTAATCCCAGCACTCGGGAGGCAGAGGCAGGTGGATATCTGAGTTCGAGGCCAGCCTGGTCTCCAAAGCGAGTTCCTCCAGGAAAGGCGCAAAGCTACACAGAGAAACCCTGTCTCGAAAAACCAAAAAAAAAAAAAACTGGAATTAAAATCAACCTGTTTCTCCACCAGTGATGTATTTGAGGGTAAAGGGAGACACAGCTACACTGGCTCAGGCTGTCCCAGTTAGATCGTATTTTGATATAGTGAAATGTCTGAAGATTTAGCAAATACAGGAAATTGGCTTGCCAGGATGACAATGATATACTAACATAGTAGACTGCAGGATAAAGGCTTAATATGTAACTGCAAGGGAACTGCGGGCTAAGGACTCATGCACACGCCTAACTTTTTTAGCGGGGAGGGGCTTGTTTCAAATAGGGTTTCTTTGTATTTATAGCCTTGGCTGCCCTGGAACTCACTCTGTAAACCAGGCTGGCCTCGAACTCACAGAGCTCCACCTGCCTCTGCCTTCTGAGTTCTTTTTGTTGTTTCTTTTGTTTTTGTTTTGTTTTAAATTATATTTGTGTGTATATGGTTATGTGCACCTGAGTGCAATGCCTGCAGAGGCCAGAAGGTGGCACCTGATCTGGTGCTGGAGATGCGGGCAGTGTTCAGCAGCAGGACATGGGAACTGAACTCGGGTTTTGTGCGAAGACCAGTACTCACTGTTAACTGTGGAGCCATCTCTCCAGCCTGTGAGTGTGTGTTTGCGGTTGGCTGGTTTTAACACTGGGACTCATGTAGTCCAGGCTGGTCTGGAACTTTTTAAGTAGCTGATAAGAATGGCCCTGGACTTCTGGTCATTCTCCCTTGCCCTCCTCGGAGCTGAGATAATAGGCATGCCTTACCATGCCTATTTTTTGTGTACTGGGGACTGAACCCAGGGCTTTATGCATGCTGGGTAAGTATTCTACCAACCGAGCTATAACCCCAACCCCTAAATTACCAATTCTCAAGCTAGTAGTGTTTTTTTTTCAGTATCCCAAATGTAATTCATAAACATATGCAATTACTTTGATAAGAATTACTTACGTGAAAATGAAACTAATGTCTTCACTTATCAAAAAGAATTTAAGTAGGGGCAAAAAGTGATGGCTCAGCAGTTAACGAAGTATGCTGCTCCTGAAGAAAACCCAAAATCAGTTCCCAGGAGCCTTAACTCTAGCCCCAGAGAAGCAGACACTCTCTTTTGGCATCATGAGCACTTACACAGGTACACATACCAATACATATAATTACATGTAATTGAAAATCTTCGGCTGGAGAGATGGCTCAGCAGTTAAGAGCACTGGCTCTTTCAGAGGTCTTGAGTTCAATTCCCAGGAACTACATGGTGGCTCACAACCATCTACAGTGGGATCTGGTGCCCTCTTCTGTCATGCAGGCACACATGCAAATTCAGCACTCATATACATAAAATACATAGATAAATCTTTAAAAAGCTTTTTGAAAAGAATATATGTATATTGGGTGAGAACAGTAACATTATTCAAGAAAAAAAAATGTTTTAAAGGAAAATGCTGTTTGGGTTTAAGATTTTTAAAAAGATGAATGTGTGTGTGTGTGTGTGTGTGTGTGTGTGTGTGTGTGTGTGTGTGTGAGTGCCCATAGAGGCAAGAGGAGGGCATTGGATCCCTGGGAGCTGGGATTACAAGCATTCATTAGCCACCCAATGTAGGTGCTAGGATCCAAATTTGGGGCCTCATAATTAACTCATAATTAACTCCTGAGCCATCTCTCCAGCCTCAAACATTTTCTTACTCTTTCACAATTTCGTACATATACATAATGTACTTTGATCATACGAGTTCTGGTTTTTATGTCAACTGCATGGTTTCAGATTTGGTGTACGGCCTTGGTCCAAGATGATGTAAGAGAGGTACTGCATATTTATCTCATGTATCTCTACTGATTATTATACAATATACTCAGATTGCAACAATAAAAAGTACATCCTATGGGAATATCTGGTGACTGCTTTAGACAAGAGGATTTCATGTATTTGAAGCAGCAGGAAGGATGCTAAGTCTCAATGACAACATGGGGTAAGGCTGGCTCTGCCTGTGTCTGAATTTCCAGTTTCCAGCTGTGCTTATGGTGTCTTACTGAAAACGTTCTGATAAATTAACCTAGCACAGAAGGTAGAACCTTCCGGCATAATTTCTGGGTTGCCATTAACAGCCTTCTGTGGAAGTATCAAGAATGTGGTTCCGCTGGTAGAGTGCCTGCCTGCCTAGGATGCACAAAGCCTCGAGTGTCGTCCCCAGCCCTGCGTAAACTGAGCACTGCATCAGTGTGGCTTGTAATCCTAGCACTCGAGAAGTGGAGGCAGGAAGATCAGAAGTTCAAGGTCATACTGACAGGATGAATAAAAGGAAAGGGTGAAGTGGGTACCTTTTGGTGGGCCCTGCCAAGATATGCCACTAGGCAAACACGCCAGGCACAACAGAGTTCGTGCAAGAGGTTTACTGGGGGAGGGGAGAGCAGAAGCGTGAAAGGCCGAGTGGGGACATGAGAGAGGCCGACAGACAAGAGGAAGAAGAAAGGTAAAGAGACAAAGAGTGAGCTGTGCCTGAAGGGTGCACATAGCCACAGGTGATGATGTAACTGCTGTGGCAGCAGAGACTAACACATACCCTGCTACACAGTGAGTTCAAGGCCAGCCTCGGCACTCTAAGATGCTGCCTCGAAAAAGTACCAAACTACCAAAATAAAACACTTGGGAAAAATTAGAAACTGGGTTCCATTCTGACTCCAGTAACAAAGCAAACAACAAAGAGATCTGCTGTTTGTGCTCAGGCCGGTGGAGACAGACAGAGCAAGGTGTCTGTCTCCTCGTCTAGGGCTGACTCTGAAATGAATGAAAACAACCCGCTCACAGCTTCTCTTTCCATGTAGAATTGGTTTACCAACCACAGAATGAAACAGAAAATCTTGGAGCAACACCACCCTGAAGGTAAGAATTCACTGGACAAACTTATTTCCAAGGGTCCCACTGAGAGTAGAAATGACTCTGTTATCTAATTCTCCTAAAGATTTCTCCATTGAAGAGCTTGTTACAGCTTGCTCTGGGCATGAGAGTTTCAAAGGAAACATTAATTGTGGGGCTTGATGGCTCACACTTTTAATCCTGGCACTCCTGCCTCTGTGAGTTGGACGCTTGGTCCATGTAGCAAGTTTCTGGCCAGCCAGAGCTACAAAGTTAAGCCCGCCTACATCATGTCCTCCCTCCCCCCAGAAACAAAACAAAGCAAATCCTAAGCAATATTCCCCCAGTTGCCTGGAGCAGGCAGATTCGCAGCAAACGAAGTCTTGGATTTCTGAAGAAGCCTTCTTTTCTCCCACCCTGGGGAGACTCAGAGAGTAACTGTGAGCATGTTCTCATGTGACCACGAAACTGACTGAAAAGTCTCTTTTTGTTCCTGTCATCTTAAGTCAGACCTCACCAACTGTCCTTCACAAGAGCTCAAGTGGACTTCCTAAGTAAGGCCTTCAGGAATAACAGGCTCCCTGACCGTGCAACCAGGACAAAAATGGCTATGAGACTAGGCATCAAGGAGTCAAAAATTCAAGTAAGTTGGATTCGAGTAAGCAGTACCGGGTCACTGTTGTAAGAAATACCGCCCCTAAAGACATAGCTGAACCTTTGGGCTGTCTTGGGTGTCCACAGAGAGGGCCAAGTTCTGGGTGGTTAACACACAGCCATAAATGTCACGTCCAAAATTGAAATACATCCATATAGAATCACAAGCAAGGAAGCTGGAAAATGTATAATTTAAGTTCCCCACCCCCTTTTTTTGTTGTTGTTGTGGATGCCAGGTAACTTTCTTTTGAGGGTTTCTGTTGTGGAATACTAACTAGGCAAAGATGTGCTACATTTATTTATGCTGCACAATATATGACTTTAACCGTGTAAAGGAGTGTTACTTTTGTTATGCTGCATTTGTTAATGATGTAAAGATGTGTTGCATCTGTTTCACCTTGTCTGCCTAAGGCACCTGATTGGTCAATAAAGAGCTGAAGAGGCAATAGCTAGACAGGAGGAAGGATAGGCGGGGCTGGCAGGCAGAGAGAATAAATAGGAGAAATCTAGGCTCAAGAGAGAGGAGGAGAGAATGCGGGAGATTGCTGTAGCAAGAAGCCAGGCAGCCACAAGCAGACCTTAGAAGCAGTGAAGTAAGATCTACAGAAAGAAAAGTAAAAAGCCCCGAGGCAAAAGGTAGATAAAGAGAAACAGGTTAGTTTAAGTTAAAAGAGCTGCCAGAAAGGAGCCTAAGCTAGGCCAGGCATTCAAAACTAGTAAGTCTCTGTGACATGATTTGGGAACTGGTTGGTGGCCAAAAAGAAAAGAGCCTGGTACAGGTTTCTGTGCGTGGTAGAATATTTTTCAGCAGAATTGGCCTCTACCAAATATATACCAGTGGAACCCATGCCTACTTCCTCTAGCCTCTTAGTGACAATCAAGATAATTGATAGTCAAAATTGTTCCCATTATGCAGGGTGTGGTGGCACAAGCCTTTAATCTCAACACTCAGGAGACAAGGCAGGCAGATCTGTGAGTTAAAGGACAACTCGGGCTGTACAGAGACCCTATCTCAAAAAAGAAGCCAAAAACAAAACAAAAAGGTAGAGTGAAACAAGAAAAAGTAGACATCAATATCTGACCTCTCTATGCCCATGAATCCAACATACCCTATACATGTGTGCGCGCACACCCACACCACGGGCACATGAAAGCTCACATGCACGTAAAAGTAACATATGATCTTTTACTTTGTTGTTAAGGATTCATTTGTGTATGCGTGTGTATGTATTGTATGTATGTATGTATACCCTATGATTCAGACTTCCGCCAGTAGCCTGACAGCCTACAGACTATGAGAAGCTGAACTAGTGTCTTGTGAACTTTCCTTAAATGTCAAATAGGACATCAACAGACCAAAGTACAATTTCACCACAGTTCAGTCTGGGGAACCGGGGGGTTCAATGGCTTTTACTTACAGAGCCTGGGTGACCCCAAAGCATTTGTTTCCCTGGGAAGTCTCACCCCAGAGTAGACAACTCCCTGTAGCTTCAGTTAGCCTTCCACAAGCCACATAGCCCATCACTGCCCGGAGGCCATGTGCAATTAGGGCGGAATTGTATACAGCTGGCTGTAGGTGCAGGGAGAGTGGCTGGAGTCTCGGGTGAGGTTTTCCTGACCTGTCTGTGAAGGAATGTCAATAGGCCCAATCTTGTGACTCTTGTAAATTAGTCACAACAGCCCCATGAAGAGGGTGAGTTCTTCCGCTCCCCTAACTCCTCCTAGTTCCTCTCCACCTCCCCTCCTCCCACCTCAGTCCACAAACAAATAGAAGAAAGGCCCAAAGAAAAAAATACAAGAGACAGACAGACAGACAGACACACACAGGAATCCCATAAAAACATAAAACTGGAAGCCAAAATATATACACAAAGTATTTTTGAGGTTAAAAAAATTGCCCTGACAAAATATCCTGAGACAGAAATGCCACTGAATTCCTTTTGTGTAGGCCACCACCTGCTCTCAGGAGTGGTTTGTACCAGGCAATGGTGGCGCACGCCTTTAATCCCAGCACTCAGGAGGCAGAGACAGGCGGATCGGATCTCTGTGAGTTCGAGGCCAGCCTGGTCTACAGAATGAGTTTCAGGACAGGCTCCAAAGCCACACAGAGAAACCCTGTCTCAAAAAAAAAAAAAAAAAAAAAAAAAGAAAAAGAAAGAAAGAAAGAAAGAAAGAAAGAGAAAAGAAAAGTGGTTTGTACCCCCCAGTGAGACTCTGGTTGAAGAAAACTAATTTTTCATTTTGTGAGCAGTACGAATTGGAGATAGCTTCTGGGTTAGGGAATGGGGACTTGTGTCCACTTCACCTCTCAGTGCTTGGGACCCCATCTGGCACGGGCCTGTGCAGTCCCTGTGCATGCTGCCACAGCCTCTGAGTTCATGTGTGCGTCAGTCCTGCTGTGTTTAGAAAGCCTTGTTTCCTCAGCATCCTTCATCCCTGAAGATGGTAACTTCTATGCTTGCGGGATAGAATTTTGCAACAGCTAGACTGAACTTGTTTGATGTTTATGTCCTGTTTTCCTCAGGCATGGTTTCAGAAGCAAAGATTTCTAAATCCTGAGCATAGAGAAGAGTCCTCGAATTTATCAGATGGGACAAATGAAGGACCAAATCCAGCTGCTCAGCAGCAGAACATCGACCTAGCCACTCCCACAGCCAATTGTTTCCCTTCCTCTGAACCCTGCTGTAAGGACCAGACCTCCCTACTTGCCCCACTGGAATCCCAGGGATTCGTTCCTGGGGATTCCTTTGGGGTCTCTGGGAGCCGAGTGTCGAGCACTGTGACCCTACAGGCCACAGAAACTGTGCAGGAAGAACAGAACCTCGATGCTCCTCTGACTTCCACGAATCCCTTGCCAGAAGAGCTAAGTCCAGGACAGGATTTCTCAGGTACCCAGGCTCCTTTCTCTTCTCAGCCTGATGCAGAGCATGAGAAACAACAATCTGAGGACCCAGATTACATATCTTACATTATGCAATGGTGGGACAAGGGCCGCCTGGATCTCATTGCAAATTGGGACCCTCAGAAAGAGGCGTAGTTTGCTCTGTCAGGTTCACCAAAGCCTTAAACTCCTGCAGTTCTCCCCCCCCCCCCCAGACCGAGTTTCTCTGTAGCTTTCCTGGAATTCACTCTGTAGCCCAGGCTGGCCTCGAACTCACATAGGTCCACCTGCCTCTGCCTCCCGAGTGCTGGGATTAAAGGCGTGCGCCACCACTGCCCGGCTTTTTTTTTTTTTTTTTTTTTTTTTTTGTTAAACATTTTTTTACCATAATTGTTTTTGTTTGTGGGGGGCACAGTCATGCATGTATGGAAGTCACAGGCTGACTGTGGGAGTTGGTTCTCTTCTTCCACCATGTTCAAGGGGTCAGGCTTGGCAGTAAGCACCCTAGGTAGCTCAGCCAGCTTGGCAGGGTCTCATCATGTAGCTCTGGTTGGCCTAGAATGCCCTTTGTAGACCAGGCTGCCTTTGAAATCACAGAGGTCCACCTGCCTGTGACTCCTGAGTTTGTCTGGGACAAGGGTATTGTTCTGTAGCTTAGGCTGGCCTTGAACCCATGGCGATGTAGCTGCTTTAGACTTGATTAAAGCAGTTTTGGTGGGGAAGTAAGTGCCTTTAGGTTTGCCTAGGGCTGGCCACAGCATAAAGGTTCCTTATTCAGGTTCCTGAACCTTAGACTAGGTTAATTTACTTTTACCCTGCTTATATCACCACCACCACCACCACCACCACCACCACCACCA